GTGGAAAACCTAGAGCGGCAGAGATATCTGTGGCATATAGTCCAGAATATACAGCATTTCATAAATAGTGTCATTTCCTGGATTTTTTTCTGTGAAGAACCCAGAGAGGGTTATTTGATTGTGCTTTCTGGAAAATACATTTAGGCACTCCTGCAAATGTCACTTTGCTACAAACTAACTCTGGCTCCCCACCAGACAAGTGAAAAGTTATGTGGCCCTCACAGGAAAGAGTTTGGGGACCCCTGCATTAACACTTTTGAGACTCAAAAATATAATGTTTAACAGATTTCAACCAATAAAATCAGATTTCTTTTAATATGCAAGAATAAATCTTAGAAATATGTTGGCAAGTTTGGAGCCTACAATAAGTCTGAAATGACCGATATGTCACCTTGAGTTTACTGCCAAGTGAGCCTTTTCATTATATTGAGCGTAAACAAAACTGGAGTACCAACATGCAAGCCAAAGCTAATCAAACTTGTGGTGCAGCATCTTGACTAAGTGAGGCAAATGACAAATTTTATTGCCTATGACTAACAGGAAATGTTTGCCTAATCAACTATGAGGTAATGCATTAGTATTTTTCTTAGGAACATTGATGAATGAGTTACTTGCTCAGAAAAAGAGATTAAAGTGAATCAGGAACATTTAATTGCAAAACTAAGCACAGGCCAATCATTACATTTATTCATACAAACAGGAGTTTGGTTCCTCCCAGCTCCTCATCTGTGTGAATCCCTGCTCACTGACCACTCCACAGTGGGTTTCTTTCCTTAGAGACGACTGAGGAAGAATCAGTACGACCAGAAGACTTAATCTTACACCACTGACCAGCAAAACATCTTTACATAATGCTGCAGCAGAGCATTGAGACACCAAGTCATAGTTTGGCCAGGAATTGTTCATACCTCTGTCAAATTTAACTTTAAAGTAATCCTTTAATTTTACCAACACGTTTCTTCTGACTGGAAGCAATATTAGAGCAACCAAACCAGAATCCTGACTGAATCTGTGTGGGGAGCTGCAGATTAGGGTGATGGGATGTGGACAGATGCAGAAAGATAAAAAAGGATTTGATTGTTTTGATGCCAGTCTGCTATCCAGACCCTCAAATTAGATACATTTTGTGACTATTTTGGAGAAGCAATTCATGCTCTTAACACTTTGCTGTAAAGAACTGGATAACTGAACTAATGAAGTGTTGCTCAATAGAAGCCTTTACACAATGTCTGCTGTGCAAGACTCTCTTCCAGCAGTTAATTTGACTCACGGCTGCAACATTCTGGCGGCTTAAACACTTAGCTCAGAGCAGCCACAAACTACTGAGGTTTAATGTTGGCCACTGAAGATCAATTCAGATCCCACCACAGTTTAAAGAGTGGCATTACCCTTGAAAACAAACCCTAAAGTTATTTCTACTTGCACAAAGAGAAAGTTAAAAATAAAAAGGTACAGCTGTACATCGATTGTACAATTTGATGCAATTAATTTAACGTACACCACCACAATTTGATGTAAAAGTTTTTACTGCAGGAAGAAGACAGCCATTTTGAATATTTGTGATCAAAATTAAGAAATAAGGGCAGCCCAATATATAGCAAATATCATTGCAATTTCAATACATCTAATGCAGTATTAATTTGTATAGTCTGTTTGGATTACATCCTGTGCTGGCAATTATATTCCAAGTACCAAGATTTAACCATTTTCATGGCTATAATGTGTTGTCATACAGCTGACAGCCACAGGGAAAGTTGGAAGCATTGTAATGATTAATGGAAACTAGTTGGATGAGGAAAATTGTGATTTTTCACAGCTGATGGCGTCATTGAAAAACACCGACGTCGCCTGATATAGTACAGCCTGGAGCAAACGGATGCGAGAAGCTTCTAGAAAGGAAACTCCATTTCTACAGGAATGTTGACATTTCATTCCGGCAGCAACAGAGAGCTGGACTTTTGTCATTTTAGTTGTTTTGCTGGATTTGAACATAATGTCAACTATTTGGAACAATATCAGGATCCACATACAGTGACCACTGCTGCTTACAGATACTTTTACCAACTGTTGCAACTGAGCATTAGCAACATTTGCTAATGCCACACATTGCTTGAAATGTCAAATCTACAGATATTTTCTCTTTATTTTTAAATACTAAAACCAAGTTACAAATCCTTTTCACATTGTGTGATTTCTGTCATAAATAATGGCAGCTAGAAAATTAAATTTTTTGATGCTACTGAATCTAGTTCTTGAAAGAAAATCTAAATTTGAACATCAAACCTCTACAAAACCAGAGATTGGACATAAGCCATGAAACCATAATCAGTCTTCTGCACTCATGTTTAACAGCTTAGTAGCTTTATTTACCAGCCATGCGAGTTGAAGCTGCATGATCTCCACCTGGGATGACCGAAGCCATTTATTATCTCGGAGCACATTTGCAATTAGTCCCATTTTATTGAAGCCATCTTGGTGCCATTTGGCCATTTAGTGCAATGCATTTACACTGATCTGAGATCTGTTAATCTGCTTCCTAGTGGATATTTTTCAGCATAACAAAAAAAATCTGAATGCATTTTTTAACCCAATTACAAGCTTTCAATATTTTGATTATAAAAACAATGCTTCCTACTTTTGTAAGTTATTGGCTGCAATATGATCAAGTTTTAGTTGTGCGTTTATATACATCCACTATTTACACACAAACTACCATTTTAAACCTGTGGTCAAAGATTCATCCTAACATTGGCCTGTAGTAAAAATTTAAGTAGTTCCCTGTACACTAGGTGTGTTGATTCATTGTGAGTGTTCACTCACTGTTCACAGCGATCCATTCATTGAGATCCTCTCCCTCTGGCAGCATGACGGCCTGTCTCAGGTTCCCGCTGCCCAGCGTCGCCTCGGCGTGTTTGAGCAGCTCATACTGGTGTGAGCCTTCTGGGATGTTTTTCTTCGGCTTGAAGGTCTTAGATGAGCGACTGCCACTGCAAACAAGAGGGGCCAGAACTAAGCAACCGTGTGTAAACGTGGCATGGTTGTACAAGTGCCATCAGGGAGTTGAGAGACATCACTTTGTATACTCTTCAATATTTCATTAAGCAGTCTTAACCAGCCCTGTAGTTCACACCATGTCGCACATGTTTGTTCCTGGAGAAAAATCTGCCTGGGAATCTTTGAGCTGTAGGACGTACCTGGAAAAACCCTCAAAGAACTGAGCCTAGAGGCATTTTGATGGGATCCATATTAGTTCTCCCTTTCATACTCCTAGTTTGCCATTCGGTCTCTTCCCATTTTCATTTTGCACAAACTTGTACTTAAATCCTTGCCCATCACTACATTTCTCCAAGTAGTCAGGCATTTTCAAAGAATTGTGATACAAATGCTTGAATCTTAAATATTTGAAATTGTATATTGTTTTCTGAATACTTTATGACAAGTTGTTTCCATTAATCTAATTGTGATCATTGTGTGGATTTGGTGATTCTTAAGTAAAGAAGGCAAACTGAGACAACCGAGTAATTTCCTGCTGACTGATAATCATCACATTTCCTTTAACTTGCCTATAAAGGTAGATGGGTTAGAGAAAAATACTTCTAGTCATCAGTTGTCAGACCTGATACAAAATCTCTCTAGAGCAGACATAACAGACTAACATTTGGAACAGAAAATCACATGAAAAGTGGCTCAATTTTGTTCCAGAAAGATGTGTTGAAAAGAAAAACTGCAAACACACCAACTCTTAACAGACGCAAAAGCTCAAAGTCATCCTCATCAAATCCAAAGCTTCTTAAGTAGAAGAGGTGCAGGACTGCTGAGCTCTTTGCATTTCATCAATTTCAGTTCAGCCATTTTTAAGTGTAATATTTTTACTTTTTTCAATTTTCAAAAATATCAATGTTTAATTAGATTTGAAGATGGCATGTTCAAAGGGTGCTCTCTTCAAGGTCTTTGAGTTTAAAAAGATGTTTCTAGTCTGAATTAAGCAATTCAGACAAACTAGAAGTCTTTACAGTAAACACCTATGAAACTGGTCCTGTACCTACAGTTCTAATGAGTCACCACTGTCACTTTAGGTTCCAACTTAAAAAAAAAACTGGGGTGGCTTGTTTTCAGTGGAACATTTAACCAAGTTATAAATGTAACCCAGCTGGTGCAACAGACAGGAAATGTAATTGTATGCCACTGTAACTGTAAACAGGGGCATTAATTAACATGGATGCTTGGAGTCCCTAGAAGTAGAAATTAAAATTAAACAAAAATATGATACAGAACTGAGCACCTCCAGTCTCTTAGAAATTAAGAAAAAAAGAAATCGGGGTTAGGTTCATTTACTCACCCAGAGCTAAAGCTGAGCAGTTGTGAATCAAAGTAGCTTGCACATAATTAAATCCAGAATATTAACTTTACAAGTTAGAAATGTGGTTTAAAGCGAAACTGACCATATTTAGTCTTAAGAGTAATTTAGCCAATTACTTTTCTGTCTCATAACTCTGGTATTTCCCCTTGATATGCAATTAGTCCAGCCGTACACGTTTTAAAATGCACTTTTGTGTCATTTCAGCGACTCTAAATTCACCTTATTAGCATTTAACCTATCCGTGGTCGTTTTGAGATGCAGCTGACTAGTTTTCGGTCTCAGCTAACTTCCCTTGTGAACTTTGTAGAAGCGCAGCTAACCCTGACCGCAAGCTCCGCTCTCACTCAGGAAGCAAACTGCAACTTTACTTACAACAGGAAGCTCATCTTGACGAAGACGTTGTTGAAGAGTCTTTGTGAAAACTACAAGTTGAGGTTTAGTACGTAGAAATGTGCTTTTAAATCTCCCTTAGGACGAAGAACTATCATCGACTTGGCATCAAGCGAAGATGAACTGCACCCACAAGGGCTCTTCCTCTGTTGACTGTCTGTCAGCAGGCAAACTATCGCCACCTTCAGGCCACAGATTGATATGACCGCTTTCCGTTATAACTCAGTTAAATTTACATAGGTTAATTGTGCCAAGATTGTTTAAGGAAATGTGAGATACTTTCCACATATTTAATGATAAAATTATCACTCTAATTTTACGGACATGTTCATGAGTAAAGAATATTCAGTTAAAATCAGAGCTTTACAGAGTGCATTACAGAAATTTGAAATTTAAATTTATTTCGAACATGATACAAATATAAAAAGTAATATAGTACACAATAAAAAAAGTGAATAGAAAAGAAGAAAAGAAAAAAAAATACAGATATCTGTTTCAGTTAACATATCATGCTCAAAATGGGTAGGAAGAAGTAAAAACTTAACTCCTACCCCCTAAAACACTGGAAAACTTACAATACTACTGTTATTTAAAAAAGAAAAAAGAAAATCAATTAAAAGTCGGAGTAGCTGTCAGCAATTACTAATATATAGCTATGCATTATCTCTTTTTATACTGGTTTGTCTTTTCAAACCCTTACCCCAAGTTGTTCTCAATGCACACATCATTACTTTCTCATACGTTTATCTCTATTAAAAATGACCTCTTTATATTTTCTTTTAAATTGTATTAAGCTATTGCTTAGTTTTAAGTCGTCATCTAATTTGTTCCATAACTTTACACCTTTAATTGAAATACAAAAAGTTTTTCTTGTTGTTTGCAACTTGCGGCGCTTTAAATTTGAATAACCCCTTAAATTATATCCCCCTTCTCTTTCAGAAAACATACGTTGTATGTGCTCAGGTAACAAATTTTTAGATACTTTGAACATAAATGGAGCCATTTTCAATTCTACAAGCTCGTTAAATTTTAGAATTCTAGATTTTTTGAAGAGTAGGTTTATATGCTCATAATAACCAACATTATGAATAATTCTAATGGCTCGTTTCTGTAGGACGGTTATCGGATGTAAAGCGGTCTTATAATCGACTCCCCATACTTCACAGAAATATGATAAAATCAGAGAGTTTTATAGAATATGAAGAGATTCAGCATATGTCTAGCTCTAGCCAATATAGATATGCTTCTACTGAGTTTACCCTGTAAATGTTTAATATGAGGTTTCCAATTAATTTTGTCATCTATTATTACGCCAAGGAACTTATTAGCAAAAACCTTTTCTAAAATTACGTCCTCTATTTGAACTTGAAATTCAGTATTATTGTAACAGTTCCCAAAAACCATAATTTTCGTCTTATCCAAATTTAATGATAATTTGTTATGGTCAAACCATATCGTCAACTTACTAATCTCTGAGGTGACTGTTGAAATAAGATGTTCCAAATTGTCACCAGAGGCTATAATATTTGTGTCATCAGCAAATAAGATAAATTTTTAATACATTGGACACTTTATTGATATAATTTATGTAAAGATTAAATAAAAGTGGTCCCAATACTGATCCTTGTGGTATTCCACAGACCGTCTCCTGCCAGTCAGATTCCACATCTCCCAATTTCACAAATTGTTTTTGGCTCATTAAATAACTCCTCATCCAATCCAAAACTACTCCCCTAATTCCATAACGTTCTAATTTTTTAAGTAGGATTTCATGATTTATTGTATCGAAAGCTTTCTTTAGATCTATAAATATCCCTACTGCCAATTTCTTATCTGTGGCATTGGTTATTTCTTCTATTAAGTCAATTACGGCCAACGTTGTTGCCCGATTTACTCTAAATCCATATTGACTGCTACCAAGTAATGAATGTTTCTCTATGAATTTTTCCACTCTTTTCTTAAAGAGCTTTTCCAGGATTTTAGAAAATTGGAGAAGAGAGACAGGCCTGTAATTAGTGAAAAGGTGATTATTGCCAGTTTTTTACATTGGTTTGACCTTAGCCATTTTCATTTTGTTTGGAAATTATCCCGTTTGAAATGATAAATTGCAAATATAAGTTAATGGTTTAGAAATTCCTTTAATTACCATTTTAATAATTTTCATGTCCAGATCATCACAGTCAGTGGATGTTTTATTTTTGCATCAATCCAGTTGGAAGTAACAAGTTTATAAATTGTGCACTGAATGTGTAAATGTTCAGAGCTAAACATACCTTGGAGGTGAGCTGTGAGCCATCTTTTAGGAAAAAAAGAGGGAAAGTCTTTACTGACGAGAACTTAGGCGTGATGAGTCCTTGCTCACTGAAACAAATAGCACTGGTTCCCAGAGCCCACTGCCTTGCATGTTTAAGGTGTTTCCCTGCTGCTGCACACCTGGGTTAAATGAATAGGTGATTAACCGACTTCTATAGCAATTGCAGGAACGCAATGGAGGTAATGCAATCATATAAATCAGCTGTGCTGGAGTCTGGACTCAAAAACATGGAGGACAGAGGTCCCTGAGGACCAGGGTTGGGGACCACTGATCTACAGGATATATAACTCTATCAGATACTCGACATTAAATCAGACAAAACCTTTTTCTTTTTAGGTCAGTCAGTATCACTAAAATCATTTCTTTTATTTCAATGTGTGGAACCTTCTGACTTTGAAGAAAGAATTAAAACATTGTCAAAAAATTGCTTCTCTCAGTGTTTTGGTTTTTAACAAATTAAATATTTTTTGTCATCCTCAATGACCTAAAACGGTAAAGGTTTTAAGGTTTTATTGTCAGACAAAATGATTTGACTTTAAACAACAGCTGTTGTAAATTTACCAACTATACAGTCTCTTATTCTTATTTTTTCTGTATTTATCTTAATTGAAAATGCATGTCTCGATGTACCTTTTTCCTGGAAAAGTTCATCACAAGTTCATCAATGCATGTTCCTCTGTGTTGCAAATTATTGCTCTTATAGTAGTTTGCTGTGGTTTTTAAAAACACAAATAAAGGCTTAAAAACCGAAAACATGTTACAATCAATTTATTAATGTGTATTAATTAATTTTAGAACATTAATTTTGATGTTTATATGGTGAAGTCCTTGACTTCCGGTTTGAGCTGTATGTTTTTATTTTAGAGCTTTCACTTCCTGTTTAGTGCTGTGATGTAGCAGTTAGCTTGTTATCCTAAAATTATGGCAGTTAAAGCAGTTTGTAAGACGAAGCTTCGCGTAATTACGGCAGCTTGCTTTTTACTTTTACAGGATAAGCTTTCAAAGCTTTCATAGTGGCAGCCCCTCCGATTCGAATGGTTAAAAGATAATTGTAAAAATTATTTACTATTAATCTGTACTTTGTCCGTCAATATGTTTATTTGGCTTAAACTTAAACTAGCAATGGAGATGTAAAATGATTAATAACACACATCTTGTATGTGTTTCAGCTCTTGCGGTGGTAATATATGGATTTTAATGCTAAAAAATAATCCGCATATCAATTAAGGTATATAAATTAATACAAAGGTATTAAATCTCATTTAACCATCAGTAAAGCCTCATGCTACAATTATAATTTATGTGTTCTCCAATGCAGAACTTATTTATTTGTTTATTTATTTTTAAAAATGGTCAGTCACATAAAATCGTAATAAATTAACATTTGTGACACAATGTGAGAAAGAAAGTGCAGAGCAGAGAGGGTGTGAAAGTATGAGAGGCCCCATAGGCATATGAAAGCCTAAGATAGCCTTGTGGGAAACCTATCGGGGGGTTATGGGAGTGGGAGATAGCGGTGACGCAGGGGCCGTGAGGGGAGGGGGCAGGGCTTTAAAGCCTCGCTGCTCCTCTTCCTCCCTACCAGACGGTCCTCTTATCAGGCTTGGTGGGGGAGGAGGAGCTCTCAGTGAGTGTTTCATAACCAGCCGGTGGTGGTGTGTCTCCTTCCTTCTCAGAAGATCAGAAATGGCAACGATCAGAAGTCTCAGGAAACTGTGCCAGCACGTCCAGCATCAAGTCTGTAGCCTGCACACGTCCGCCTCCAGGTGAGCCGATATTTCCGCCGGGGGAAAAAACCGAGGGAAACTAGTAACACATTCAGTCAGGGCACACAAAGCGCTGCGGTCGAGCACATTTAAAAGCCAGGCTCGATGTGCGTCCTAAGCTCTCCTCAGCACATCGCCTCTCTGTTATGTTTAGCGCACACTGAGGATGAGCATGTTGATTTTTACAAAGCGGGTTTTCTGGGTTTCGCTGTACTAAATGTCCTCGGTTGTATTGGTTCTTCCCATACCGGCATACCGCCTCTTAGCGGTATGCCGGTAACATTGCAGTTGGTTTGGCTGATGAAATCTGGAAGAGCATTTGCAGATTGGGGGTCTGAAGGAGACAAGTTTCAGCTGGGGACCGAGGTGTTGGGTTGCATGCAAGGAATATTCATGCAGATGTTCGAGCATTAAAGTTAAATAAATATGCTTAATAATAAATCCCAACAATAGAGAATGAATTATCTTTAATCATTTTAGTCAGTACATTTATTTTATACATATTTTAGAAATGCATAAAGACTTGTAAACATGACTATTTTCCATAATACTTAAGGTTAACAGAAGGAACAATCATATATGTAAACTTTTCAGTAAGTAATATCACATGTGCATGAGAAATGTATCTGCACTGCAGTTTGTCAAATGGATCCTAAAGTTTTATTGGTCAATTTCAGATCAGTTATGTTGCGTTCAGTTTGTGTGAGAAACGGTAGCTTCTCTCTGAGAATAACCTCAATGTTCGAAGCCCAAGCTTTATTTTAATTTGCAATTTTAAGTTTAATCTGGAACAGTTTTGCTCACAGTAACCCATCCATTATTTTCCGCTTAATCTGGATTGGTTTGTTGAAGCAGCCGCCTCGGCAGAGACCCAGACTTCCCTCTGTCAAGCCACTTGGGCCAGCTCCTCCGGAAGAATCCCAATTATAACCAGAACACAACCTTAAGCCATAAAACAGTAAACCTATGTATACTTTTTGTACACAGCTAAAAATAAAAATAATTGTTTGTGGATGCGTATAAAAAAAAAATTATGAATGGATGAGTATGCATTTCTCTGTTTTAACCAAAATAAATGATTTCCTTAGTAAGCTGTGGGACCTGTTTCTTGCTTTAGCGTGACAATATTCAGTCTTGCAGGCTAAAACAGGTCATGCTGTCTTTCATCGGTTTCATCACGCAGATGGTAAATTCACATCCCGTGAAGGAATTTAGTGGGAGCGTCCTGTGTGCAGCCTGACCCCATGTTAAGAAACCGAATCTTGTGGGTCCTGCACATGATCCGAATGATCACAAGATGGTTAATGTTAAACCAATGGTGTGTTGGGCACACGTTGCTCCTTAACATCCAAACGTTTCCAAATTTGTCAGCCTTGCATCAAAGCAATCCTGTTGATATGCACGATAAGACGAGAGTCAAGGTGCACAGTATATTTGAATCACGGCGGTCTCTACAACCAACATCATCGATGTGTGCAGGAAGAACTGCATGGAAGCAATGTTTGTTTGGGTGTAATATTTCAGGTGTCCTACATAAAGATGATCCTTTCCAATAATATATTTGACCAGCTGGATAGACTTTCACTGCCTCACATCTGACCTAGACCCTACATGCATACCAAGATCAAAAAGCTTATGGAAAGAGACCAATAATGGGGGGAAAAGAACCAGAGGGAGAAAATTGTGGGTTAATAATGAATATTGTCACTGCAGTATTTTTCTCTAATAATGTACAGTCCTACTCAAAACTGGCTATTAAAACTTGAATAAAATCCTGAACAAACTCTAAAAGTGTAGCTGGTGGATAAATGTTTCCCCAAGTCTGTCTCAGGATAGTTTTTGAATGCATCTGAAAGAAGAGTAAAAAGTTTTAAATCTGGAGTGAGAATCCTCTCTGACATCTCGCTGCCCTGCAGTCTCTACTCATTTGCTTCTGGTTGTGATACTTTTTTTTTCCAGGTTTAATTGGTTTTGGCAGAGCAACAGAGGTGGTTACATCACTGATGATGGCTCATTACTCTCTAGTTATTAGCTGTTTGGTTATGTTTGTTGTTATGTAACGTAGCTGAACCTTGCGGAATTGGGACAAAGTAGTGGGGCAGCAGTGCATAGACCTATAAACGCCGTATGTTGATAACTTTTCAGTTGGAGAGTTGTAGTTGGTAAATTTGGAAGATGGAGCTGATGCATCCCCAAGCTGCACGGCTGAGCGGCGCTCGGGTGTTAAATGTCCTGGTAAATCAAGACCACTTCCAGGAAGTAAGGTTTAAACTGGCACTGAACAGATCAACAGTTGAGATGAAGTGACGCTCCCAGTTTATTTTCCATGACTTCATTACTAATAATAGAAAATAAATGAAATAAATTTTTTTTGTTTTCCTGTTAACGCTTCACTGCGTTTCCCACTGTCAGGGCAGAGGCGGTGGTCATCTCAGGGAGGAAGCTGGCTCGTCAGATCCGGGAAGAAACCCGGGCCGATGTGGATCAGTGGGTCTTGGCCGGCAACAGGAGACCCCACCTGAGTGTCATTCTGGTCGGAGACAACCCAGCCAGTCACTCCTACGTTCTCAACAAGACTCGGGCTGCAGCCGACGTCGGTAAGCGGGGAGAACCATCTCCAAGTGTAAAAATGGTTGGCACAATTTCAACTTTGACTCCTGGCATGAAACCTCTTCAGTCACTATGAGTTTACTTATTTTTTTTTTTTTTAGCCTAATGGCCACAATTTGTTGCACTGTTAATAATTTAAATAAACAAATGTAAATAAAATGTATATTATTCATCATTTGAGGAACTATTGTTTAACAGTTTGTCACCTGCTGATTCCCTGGGACGTACAAGTGATGTAATACAGATGCCCATTTTCTTTTTCAAAACAGGAAGGACAAAAGAATATTGTATTCATGTAGCACAGACATTTATTAATCTTTATAAATCAAGAAATGTCTAGATTTTGCCTGATATAAATATCTGCAGTCTGAGCAATAAATAAAAAGTTTAATCCAATTGGAACTGTGATAGACAAGCTGGAGGAGGACACCATAACTAGAGAGGATCATGAAATGCTCCAAAGCTAATGTTTCTTTAGCAGGTTGAAAACATTATATGTGTGCACATATTAAAGGAAAAATTATAAGTTAACTGCTATAATGGGAGTGGGTGAAACCGAACTATCCTGAAGTTTGTCTGAATCTGACATGGGGAATAAAATGCCACAGAGGGCTGCAGTATGACTCAGTACAAGTGGACCTAATCAGAATATTATTAAAACTTAATTTTTAAATACTCAGTTTTAGCTCACATGCTGCTCTGTCTTCTCGCCTTTTACTCCCACAGGAATCTCAAGTGAGACAATTCTCAAACACTCGGAGATTAGCGAGGAGGAGTTACTGGATCTAATCTATAAACTCAACACAGACCCTGGTGTGGACGGCCTGCTGGTCCAGCTGCCTCTGCCAGGTATGCTAAGTACGGATCAGACGTGTAGCTATAAGGAGCCCCCTGAGTCAGATTATCTACTTTCCTGTTAGCCAACATGGAGATGTTTGACCTCCATAAGTGTCTTGTATTGTCCAAACTCTAACTTGCCACTGTTTTCTCTCAGAGCACATTGACGAGCGCACGATCTGCAACGCAGTGGCTCCTAACAAGGATGTGGACGGCTTCCACGTAGTCAACGTTGGCCGAATGTGCCTGGATCAGTCCACCATGCTCCCAGCCACTCCCTGGGGAGTCTGGGAAATTATCAAACGCACAGGTAGACAGGCCCCTAGCTGTTCATGATACAGTAATAATGGTGTTTTTTTGTTTTTGTTTTTTTTTTTAAAGAAATGTAATAAAATGTAATAATCTATTTTTGCTTCTTCCAGGTATTCCTACCTTTGGGAAGAATGTTGTAGTTGCCGGACGCTCCAAGAATGTGGGCATGCCCATTGCCATGTTACTGCACACAGACGGCCAACATGAGAGGCCTGGAGGTCAGTTGTACATCATCTATGTCTGGATTTCTAAATGTTTACAATTTATGACATGTAAAAGTCTTCACACCCCTTAACTTTTTCCACATTCGGTCACATTAGAACGAGGGATTCAAATGTATTTGAATGGGATTTTGTGTGATAAACAAGCAGTGAACAAAGTGTGATCGATGTTTTTCAGCGTTATCATGATCAAACTTTAGGCTCTGTGTGATGCACAGATTTTAACACCCAGCCTCTGTTCTGAACTGCTGCAGGTGATGCCACAGTCACCATTTCTCACCGTTACACTCCAAAGGAACAGCTCTGCCAGCACACTAAAATAGCCGACATTGTTGTGGCTGCTGCAGGTTTGTCTCCGTTTGCTTTCATCCTAAATCTTCCAGTCATCTCGACTTGCACGTCTCGTCTAATGACTCTCGACACGGTTTTTAGGAATTCCCAACCTGATCACAGCGGACATGATCAAAGAGGGAGCCGCTGTGATCGATGTCGGAATAAACAGAGTGCAGGACCCTGTCACTGGAAAGAGCAGGCTGGTTGGAGATGTGGATTTTGAAGGTATGGGAGATGACGTTTGATTGGATTTCCGCATGAGCTCACTCCTCCTGTCCCTTTGTTTCATTTGAATTTTTGCTCACTTTCAGCTGTGAAGAAGAAGGCTGGGTTCATCACCCCGGTTCCCGGAGGCGTCGGACCCATGACCGTGGCTATGCTCATGAAGAACACCGTCAAAGCTGCTAAAAGTGTCCTGCAGTTTCCCCCAGAGAGGATCCGTGTGGCTGCCACATCCTAATGGAGCCACACGGTAAACCTGAGCAACATGGACACATTCCTCCCAGCACCACCCTCTTGATTTCTTACTTGGAGAGGCGCAGTGAGCTCCACGTTGCACACAGACTGGAAAGATGATTGCTCGGAGGCTTTTCTTTCTGCGTGTCAAGTTCAACCATTTGCAGCCTGTTACACTAACTCATGCAGCTGCGTGTGCTTTGTAACAGTATTTATCATTTTTAATTGTACGTCTTTGATGGTTTTGAAGAGATGTTTCTATTTATTGCTACAGAGACAATATTTTACACATGAATGCAGACTCGTGGCAGTGTATGACTCTAAGCAGGTGAGCAGTGAAGCAGAGTTTTGGTTTAGCCTCACATAAGTGTGTCAAGGGCTATCAGGAACAAGATTGTTTAATAAAATATGAGCTTTAAAGATTCACTATTGCCTTGCAAAAAAAGAAACTGTGGAATAAATGTTGCATTTTTATTCTTGCATTGCTTCTTTTTGTTGAAAAATATTTTAAGACTGGGGTGACTTTATTAAATGTGACCTGAAATGCTGGACTCACCTGAGACAGAATATCAAACTATGCATCTGGAAATGAGTGAAGTATTCACACCATTTGAACTTTTCACAATTATTTTTTAATGTTTAAAGATGAAATTGACTGGTTTTGAAATGATCGACCAGCACAAAATGTTGAAAATAAATGTGCAACTTTTGCATGAAAACATCAGCACAGGCCATGGACAAAGTTGCACAGAAGTTTAAAGTGGTGAAAAGTTAACACAAGTTTAGTGTTCAGTACATTTTTTTTTGTTTTTTAATTAATCCTTTGAAAAATAAATATCAGTAACAGATGGATCAGAGAAGAGGCCAAAAGGCACATGGTATATCTGGAGGAGCTGCAGAGATCCCTGGTTCAGGTGGGAGAATCTGTTGATAGGACAACAGTTAGTCCAGTATCACACAAACCTGGCTTTTATGTAAAAGTGGTGAGAAGAAATAAAGTCTCCTTTATCACAGCCAATAAGAAAACCAGATTGATCAGATGACATAAACGTTCTTCTGCAGTGCTAACAGCTGCACCAGCCCCAAATAAAAATATAAGCGGTGTTAATAAATTAAACGAAAAGGCATGACTGGCACAAATACGTATTTTCAGGAATACATTATACCACAAAATTCTCTTAAGGATTATGTCTTTAATAATTATGCTTTCTTAGGTCATTATTTTAAGCGTATTGTCACACTAAAATAAACGTAATTTTAGACTATTAGAGCCTCCAGGCTTGATAATTTAAATAGTTGCCCCAGATTACGTGCGGAAAACCCCCCCATTAGGGTTACACCGTAAGTACTTCCTTGTCGTATTGCGTTGCAAAGATACGTTTAACAATTATATCTGTTAAAAAGAATTCTTAACTTAATTGAATTTAATTCCATAAGGCAAGTTTTTGAGCTTTGTTGAAGGTTTTTGGAAATTTAAGTCGGAACTAGGAACGGTTCTTGTGTCATGACGCTGAAATTATAGACGAACAAACTTCCGGACAACGTTTCCTGTAACTCAGCCTTTGTAAACAACTTGTGTTTCCGAAATGAATCGCAGCAGATCATCTGAACGAGTTACTAGGGAGAAAAAAACAGAGAAAAAGAAACGCAGACGGTCTTCTTCGTCGTCGTCTTCCTCCTCCTCTTCCAGCAGGAGCAGGTCGGCTAAGAAAATTTCTTCCAAGAAGAAGAGTTCAGGTTGGGACTGCTTTGTTCATTAAAAACCCACCAGAGAGGCTTATGAAGCATCCTGAACATATGTTTCTCCTCAGATGGGAAAGAGCAACGAAAGAGGCGGAGGACGCGATCCTCATCTTCATCATCCACTTCCTCCTCTTCCTCTTCTTCCTCTTCCTCTTCATCCTGCTCAAGTGATGAGAGGAGAAAGAGGAAGAAGAGCAAAGCCAAGAAGAAACTGAAGAAGCAGAAGGCCAAGCTGAAGAAACAGAGGAAAAAGGAGAAAAAGAAGCTGAAGAAAAAGGAGAAGAAGCTGAGAAAGGAGGTGGAGGCGATGCAGAGACCTCCAGATAAACCTCCATCCTACCTGGAGGCGATGCAGAATGAAGAGGAGGAGGAGGAGGAGGAGCTGGGGCCAGGTGAGTCCTCACACTATGAAGGGTAGAGAAATATATGTACCATGTTCCACAAATCTAAAGCACATATTTGGGGAGATCAGTATGAACATTTCTGAGCAAATAACATAATTTAAGAAGGTGTTCTCAATCTATTCGCTGTTTTCTACCCGTCTCCACACTTCCACTCTTCTCGAACCTGAGCTCCATGGAGCTGAGTTTTTGATCCGTTTAAACGTTTCTTGGTGCGTTGCGTTCCTCAGTCATGACCGACGAGCAGAAGGCCCGGCTCGCCACTAAGAGGCCTCTCACCAAGGAGGAGTACGAGGCCAGGCAGAGCGTGATCCGCAGGGTGGTGGACCCAGAAACGGGAAGAACCAGGTCTGACAAAGGACTGACTCTCATTCAACAATCGTAGGATAAAACTTTCCCAATTTTCAGATGTTCAATCTTCATCCGTCTAGGTTGGTGAGAGGAGAAGGAGAGATCATTGAGGAGATAGTGACCCGAGAGAAACACAAAGACATCAACAAGGTAAACAGAACGTCATCAGTTTTAGGTGAAGGACATCATAGCCGCTGTTAGCTGGATGACGAACATCTCTGCTTTGTCTCTTAGCAAGCTACAAAGGGAGACGGGAATGCCTTCCAGAGAAAACTGGGAATGAACAGGTAGAAGAAGAACCTCCAGAAGAAAACACAGACTGTTTACTTCCTGCTTGTTTCTGAGTCATTCTGATTCTTTTGAGTATGTGGTTGAGATTTTCACTGTTTATGCTTAGGTTGCAGACGCAGGTTTCTTTATGTTATAGAAACCCGAAAGCATAATTTTCTGTTATAACTAATATGGAACGCAATAAATCACATTCAAATATTCCATGTACGTTTATTACTGAACATCCATGTTACATACATATTTCTGTTTTGTTTTTTTTCTGGATTTGGACCATTCTCAATTGTTTTTTGTTTTGTTTTGTTAAAGGATCCTGACACTTATATTTTTGAAGTGTTCTGAGTCTTATGTATTTAAGTTTTCTGCCTTGGGCATATTTCAGGCTAATCACTCAACCTTTATCATAATGTATTTTTTAAGGCCACTAAACTCTGGCCTGGGAATTATTCAGGGTTTACTTTGGAAAATAAAGTTTGATTTTTTTCCAGGCATCCTTCTTTTAGGAAAAAAAAAAAAAAAAAAAAATTAAACTCACAATCTCTTGAAAAAATGACTGGCAACTTTAAAGAAGAGCACACTGGCAGGCTCTGTAAAAAAAGTATGAAAGCTTTTTACAGAGCATCTTAAATGTAATAATTATTTTATGGTCTATTGTCATTATATCAACACACAAACTTTTGCCTGGGTTGAGGTCAGGGCCATCCCAAAGATTATTGTTATCCCACCTTATCCACATCCTTATTACTGGCTGGAAGATACTGGGAGCCCAGTTTAACATCAACATGGATTTAGTGGGTTGTGAACATGCAGCCATTAGCCTGACAAGATGGACACCTTAATTTTAAAATTGTACCAAGAGTTGAACATGGTGGTGGTATCGCCATGCTGAGGGCCTGCTTCACTGCCTCTGGACTACCTCAAAATAAACGTACCATTCGGAAAAAGAAGAGCTGAAGGATGATGCATCTGTCAGGCTCCAAGGATGTGACCTTTATTTATTGAAACTCCCTAAAGAAGAAATATTTCATATGGTCCAGAAAAATACCTGGGGTGGATGACAATGAGTTAAAACAGCGCAACATGGATAAAATAACAAATAAAATCAAATCTTGAAGGAATAAAATAACCGCTGGTCAAAAAGCATTGCTCCTTCATCGCCAACAGTTCCAGACTTTTTCCTCGTTACATGTTGCTCCAATTCAACCAGAGATGTAAAGCTAGTTTGTTGCAAAAGTCACAAGTTAGAACAAGAAATTTGTCGGCACCAAACGTGCTTCATTTGACACATTTCTGTCTGGTATTTTAAATAGAAAAAAAGGCCACCATTTGTCAGTGCTTTATATTTTCTTTATACACTCTTCATAAAATCACAAGGGAATGAATAGCATCAAATATAATCCTACAAGATATGTGACCTGTACAATTCTTACATTTGCCAGTTTATCTATAAATAAATAAATATATACAGTCTAACCGTTTGTGACACAGAGCTAGTTTTAGACTGAGCCCAGGTCAAAGGTAGAGACAGACTTCCTAAAAATGAATAAATATGTCACATTAGGTAGTTTTAAGTAGTTCATCTTTAAGGATTGGTGTCCTGCATGTTTTACATGTTGCTCTGATTCAACCAGAGATGATTTTTAATGAACAGTTGCCCATGGCAGCAGAGGGAAAAACGTGGCTCAAGTACCAGAGTAAACTACAGAACTGCATTTTATCCTGTGCTTGGAGCAGCCGTCTATGAAGCCAGCAAAACATGATTTCATTCATCTCAAATCAACAGTGTTGAACCAGGGGCACTTCTGAGAAATGCAGGACACTCATAATACAGCTGGACACCCTGAATTATTGTCCTCATGCTTTGGAAAAATAACATCTTAATGCTGTCAGCTTCAGCATGAACAGCCTCCTTTCTGGGGCTAAAACCATCAGCTAAAGACAAAAAAGACACACAAAAAAAAGGACAAGCCAGGGTTCAGGTAGTCAGTCTGCCCACAGGTATAAAAACATCCCTGATCTCTGCAGCACTTCCCCTTTACATTGTCTTCATAAAGGCGTTTCATCAAAGAAAGTAACATGGCTGACCTTACTTGGGGCTGTTCATCTCTAGGGATGTTTGTCAGCTCCGTGTTGGATTATGTGTTACAAAAAAAACAATCCAAATATGAGGATTAGCTGGACAAATGTTTCACTGTTCAGTATAATTTCAATCTAGATGAACCTGGGTTTAAATCACAGACGTTTCATTAAACTACGCCGTGCTCTGCTGTGCTGACTGCAAATAGATGCCTCTGTGCTTGAACGACAAAAATCACAACAAAAGCCCCCCCAACTGTGTCCGTAGAAAGAATCCAACCGTAACATCCGACACATTTATCAGGCCAGAGCCACTTTATTGTGAGAAGTCTCCACACTGTAAAATGTGCAACCTGTGCATTTTCTGGCAGCGTCTTCACCTGCTGTGGGAAACCTTCTGCAGGTTGACGTCTGTAAAATATGTGCCGGGTGGAGGTCAGGGGGATGGGGGGGGGGGTGACTGATTGTCAGTGCACTGTGTGATGTCTGTTTGATCCAGTGGTGCTTCAGGGCAGTATTGCACACTTTCCCTTACATTTGAGTCAACATTGGTCCACTGCACTCAGCTCTGAACATGCCTGTTACGCTGAGCCCCACACTTATTGCAGCCCCTGGTAGAGAGGCGTAATGCTTTAATACTATCACACCAATCTAACCTTTAATTTGACAACATTTACTCATCGACAGGGAAAGTAAATCCTATGTTGAGAAATATTTATGTTGCACCCTCATTGGTACTCAGCAAATGAAGCAAAAGGAAGTTGTATTTTACCAGCAGAACAGAACCGCTCATAACTTTTCAGAAGATCACTGCATACCAAGAGTTTGGATGAGGTTTTTTTTTTTTTCCTGGCATAGATATGGGCAATATTCAGATTTTTTGACGAATTAGGCCTCAGTGTGAGATCTCCAACAACCCTGATCATCTTACAAAAGTGAACAATGAACTATTATTAGGAATTGTTAAAGGTGCAAATAATTGTAGGGGCATTAAATCGATTTTATTGATTAACAGAATTTTGGGGTTTTGACAATTTAATTTGAGGAAAATCTGGATTTTTTTTCCACCAAAACACTCCTCGGGTTTTGATAGTTGGAATGATGTCAGCCCACCCAAGGCTACCATCTTGTTTGACTGGCTCTAATTATTGGGACTTTTTAATTCAGGCCAAGTCACAGCACAGATGGTTGAAATAAAAGCCAGTTTTGAAAAATACTTTCTGTCATTTGTAAAAGAAAAAGTGAGGGAAAAAAAGATTCAAAATTGGAAATTGAATTTGGCATGAGAAAAAAATCAGACATTTTATTTTTAAATAAACATTTCTTAACATGAGATCTTCCCCAGCCCTGCCTAAACACCGAATAGATGAACTGAAAACACAGGTTGGGAGTGTTCTCATTTTTCCAGTGTCAAATTATACTTCTACAAGAAACAAGTTTATTATAAGTTTTGTTTCCTCCTTACACGTCTTTTCCAAAGGCGCCAATAAGTGTGGAGATAACTCAAGAAGGATAAGTAATTATATTTAAAAAAAAAAAAAAAAAAGGCATGAAAATTTACTAAACTTTAGAAATAAATATCAAACATCATACAGCACATCTCGGCTCTGCGTTCCTAGTTTCCACAACGTATCGTACAGGATTTACATCTGGAGCTCTGTCTTCCTCTAAAGGTGCAGCAGAGAGGGAGACGGCGACGCAGGGAGGGATATTTAAGAGCACATTCAATGTTTCATTTACAGCTCAGTAAAAACCAGGGAGGGGGGGGAGAGGAAACAGCAGAAATCCAAAATGGCCAAACATGGCAAATATTAAACATCCCATATATATGACACAAGTTAACAGTTCTGATACAACCCTGGTGATCTGCAAGGTGAAATGATAAAAATACAATACAGGCAAGGATTTCTGCGTTTTTTTGTTTTTGTTTTTTTTTTCTTGGCTGCTGGAACTCAATTTTGAAGAAATAAAAATACATAACATAGCAAAAACTTAAGCTCAAAACACCAGTTTGTTCACAAAAATCAATGAACCCTAACATGGCTATATTATTAAATAGCACTGATTATCAATCATGTCACCCTCATAGTAAAGAAGACACTTTAAACTGGTCTTCAGTGGACCAGATACCAGATCTGCACTGTGATGTAACAACTATGTACAGGCCTCGTTCGGGCGCTTACACAATTTATTCCATGTTTTTATACACAGAAGACCTTTATGTGATCCTCTCTGCTCAGATGCAGCATCTTGTTCTACACTGCTTATTTTGGCACCGTTGCTGTACAGTCGAGGTTTTTCCTAAAGTTGAGCCAAACATCAGGTGGAGTAGAAATCCGGCGTTAATCGTATTTAAAGGGTCAGTTCAGTGTTCGCTTTGCGGGAATCTTTTGAGTTGTGGTGCGAGGAAAACTGGAGAGCACAACTTTTAGTCTTGGCTGTTTCAGGCGTCTGCTTAAATAATTTCTGCTTGGCTTGGATTCATTTTCGTCAACTCTCGGTAAATGAGTAACACTTATTTATAAATGCGCTCGGCCCGGTGTTAATCAAGTCTCAGCTCTGCTTTCACGGATTTGCAGAACAAAAGGGCTGATGCTTGAAATCTGCAGCACAGAAGGTGAGTCTCTGTTGCCGTGTCTGTGCTTTGCTTTGGCCACATCTGTCAGCCGCGGAGCAGAATCAGAGTAACTCCCTTGTGTCGTGCAGGCGCTTCATTGTGTGCAGTCAAGTATAACAGCCTGTAGGAGGAGTTCTGAGCTTATATTCATGGCCGAAAAATATTCGCTGAACAGAAGAAACAGTTTAAATTCATTTATGTTTGCGTAACATGTGGCTTCAGGAGGACTCGCCTGGTTTAAAACAATAACAACAAAACTGCCACAGTCTCCACTAAAATCATTTAATTGCTGATAAGTGGTCTGTAGCACCTCGGTGGCGTTTCGCCCACTTGGTTCAAACCCGCAGCGTTTCCTGTCTCTGCGCTCGTCCTCCCAAGCGCCTGTACTCTCTCATTTGGGGTTGAACGGGAACGGCTCCAGCTTGGTGCTGCCGCTACGGCCCCAGCAGCTCGCCGTGATGCTCATGCTGCGCTGCGACGCCCCGGGGCCGTGGCTGTGGGTCCGCTCCAGCCGCTCCCGCTCCAGCCGCTCGCTGTCCGACTGGCTCTGCGTGCGCTCGGGCCGGTTGTGGAAGCTGCCTGTCGGGGAGCTGGGCGCCGGCTGGGAGGAGATGGTGCGCAGCAGGTGGTTCCTTTTCCTCAGGAAGTCGCTGTTGGCGCCCAGGCCGAAGCTGCCCTTGCGCAGGACCATGCGCGCGCTGCTGGACTTGGCGGGCCGAGAGCGCTGGTTGTACTCCAGCTGGGACAAGTGGGCCGCGTACCCCTCTGTGATGAACTGCGGAGAGGAACATTCGAGCCGAGAGGAAAGCTAGCTGAATAAATCTGGCTTTAGACATGGAATAGTCATTTATCGCAGGGCCGCGACTAACAACATGTTTGTAATCGATTTTTCAGATGATTAATCGGATTTTTTTTTTTTTTTTAAATTGCCAAATTCTGCAGATTTTTAATTTAAACTTTCACGGCTTTTTACGCAATGTTAGAAATAGAGTAAAAGGTGCAAAAGAACTAATAATTCAACAGCTTTTTTAAAATAAGAAAATAAAAATTTCATTGTCTAAAATGCAATAATGAAGTATTTCTTTAGCGTGGATTAACTGATTAATGGCTGGATGGCAAAAGGTGCTTAACAGGAGATTATTATTTTTACATTATTATAATTATTACAGCAATTGAACCAGGTGATGGTAAAACTACACCACTTGAGGAGTTTTGAGCAGAGCATACTTGCAGACAAAGGTTTTGTTTTCACCTTAAATGTAAATGTTTATATATTCTTTGTTCAGTTTTGGCTTAATTGTTGTTCTTTTAGCAAATGGCTTTTTTTTCCCCCCTTTTGAGTCTGTATACTGTACTTAACGGTTACTCAATTTCTACATTAGTTGACATTTATTTCAACAACTGATTAATCACAATTAATCGCTTCGGCCCTAATTGGTAGCAGGAGGCGCCGTGTTGAATCTGTCTCTGGACGGTACCTGGCACTGGTTCTGCATCTTCTTGGAGGGTCTGCCGACGATGTAGATCTGAGAAGGAGGAATGCCGATGGAGTTGTAGACAGAGATGTCTTTGGTCGATCCATATCCAGCGAAGATCTTCATATTAGACTGAAATCAGCCCACAGGCAGGAGAGAAATTATTTTCTTTGAAAATTAAAATAAATAAATAAATAAATAAATTGTCTGAAGATCCTCAACACATTTCGTCTGCACCAGTTGATAACCCAAAGTACGCTCACTTACCTCTGCCAGTGTTTTCAGGAAGTTGGCCTTGTGCCTGAGCGGGTCGTGGACTAATCCGTCGCAGAAGGAGACGATGCCGTGTGGGAAGTTGTGCTGAGACAGCCAGGCCACCACCCGCTGTTTCTGCATGTCAGGACGCCCCGTCACGTAGATGATCAAATAACCTAAATCCTGCCAGTGTCTGCGACGAGATGAAGCAGCAAAGTGATTTTTTTTTTTATTTATTTTATTTAGGTGACATCTTGGGAGCTACAGAAAGTTCGACTCGGATACCTGACGACGTCCACGGCTCCTGCCCTGACCTTCGGATCGCTACCCATGATTGAGACGCTGGCGGCGAACGACCCGTCGATGCTGAACACCACAAACTCTGTGCCACGTGGGACAACAGTCAGGTAGCTGTCTGCAAACGTGTGGTCGCCTCTGGGGGTGGGGTGGGGGGGGGGCAGAGCCAGAAGAGAATGAAAACTAAACCAAAGGATGGGATTATATCTAAAGCTTCACGTCAACAAGATGCACAGAAGGCAGGAATATTTCAACAAATCATGACACACAGAGTGAGTTTGGCGTTTAAAGGCTGAGAAGATGAAGTCACCTGACAACCATTTTCACAGGGTAGACTCCGATGCCCAGACGCTTCTCCTCTGGGATGTTAAACGACACGCGGCCGCTGCTTTGAGTCACTTGCGTGCTGAAGAACACCCACTCTCCTGACGGAGGCTGGGTCATGATGTGAAGGTCGACCTGTGCAGGAATTCAAGACTTAAACGTGATGTTTGAACACTGAAAGGTTGCAGACGGCCGGTTCTCTGCTGCCACGCATGCATGATTACCTTCTCCCCAGCTAGAGTCACCATGTCCAGAGGGCCGTACATGAAGCGACCTGTGATGACCTGCTGGCTGTCTTCAGGGAACACGGCGTCGTTCACTCGATGGTTGGCAGTCACGTTCTGCCATTGGAGTAAAAATAAACCAAGTCAGAGAGGGTGTTTTTTTAAAATAAAAAAAAAGGAGAAAAAAAAAAAACACGTTTTCTCCTTAGAAATTTACAGAGAAAAGTCAAAGTCAAGTGACCTACAGCTGCATGCAAAAATATTCACAATTTCAGGGTCAAATTCGATGTATTTTCTTGGGATTTTAAGCGATAGACGCGGAAAAATAAGTGTATTATAGTGAAATGGAGAGATATTGGCACATTCTTCTGCTTCGCATTCAATCACTATTCTGTGTTTGTCAATTAATCCTAATAAAATACTGTGAATTTTTCTGGTGTAACGTTTGAGGGATACTTTTCCCTGCACTTGAATCCAAGATGTTGATAACAAACCGAAGGCATTCCTCCGCAGCAGATTAATGTTCGTAAGCCGTCTCAAACTGGCCTGTTTTCTTGATTTCACACCCACCCGGATCTTGACGTGAGTCCTCTTCCGGAGCCACTTCTCCCGAGGCTTAGAGGGGGTGAACTCTGACACCTCCTTCCCATCCAGCTCCAGGATGCTGGAGTTTTCATGCCTCATGACCTAAGAGCAGAGATTTAACTGGTTCATCCCATGAACAGGATTTTTAAAAAAAAGAATAAAAAAAAAGAAAAAAAAAGGTTGGGGCAACTCACCTGCCTCAGGAGGAAAGATACAACATCTGTGGATTCCCAGTAAGAAGCGTGGAAGAGGTGCGGCAAAGCCACTGTGGGAAAGGCAGTCAGAGCATCGGGGCAGTACAGAGCAAAGTCCAGGCGCTTTGTGCCCCACCAGCGCGCTGCAACTGCAAATGGGAACGAGTTGAATAGAGTGCAGGTCCACAAGATGAAACTCTAGCAGAACGAGCTGGCATAGAAAGGTGCACCACCTTTAAAACCCACAAAGCAAACTTAAAAAAAACATAAATAATAATAATAAATGAATAAATAAAAAAAATCAGCTTCACTTCTTCAGCTGCAGGTGAGAAAGAAAGGTGTTTTTGATTATTGTAGTGAGAAATCATGCATCAAAACGGAAGGAGACGGTTAGAACTGATGAGTAATTTCACGACCAGCTCCAAGAGTTTAATCATGTTAGTGAGGGTTGTTACACCAAAGGGCAAAATTAAGATCTGAACGTTGTTCCCACTGAGTGAAAGTGCTTGTGGCTGTGTCCTTGAGAAACCCATTTGGAAAGAATCGCAGGAGGAAGGAGAGAAAAAAAATAAATAAAATAAAAGGCTTTCCGCAGGAGCAGAATGAAGCTTTTGGATAGTTGCTGTGATTTCCGCAACTTTGAGAAAAAATACCTTCATCGACTTCAGCTTGGGAGTCCAGCGACACCAGGTCGTGTATAGCACAGTCCAGCCTGCATGATTGGATGCTTTCGTACTCGTAGATGGAACTTAGACTTTCGCCTGAGTATGTCTCAAAACTCAGATCTTCGTCAGTCAGGTCAGCCTCGGCTTTTTTATAGAACTTCAGAGGATTTTTTATGGATAATAAGTTTTGGGATGTTAGGGCAAGTTGGGAGAACAGACTGAGCTTATTGGATTGGTTAATCTGCTCTGATTTGGCTACAGAGGGGAAAACAACAACAACAGAAAACCATGTGATAAAATGGATGCATATGTAACAGAAAAAAAAACAGTTTAAAGCGTGACAAAGAGATGCATTCATTAGAGAGAACAACACTTACACAGAGTTGTGAATTTCTAAGCAGCTGTTAGTGAAGGTTAAAGCATCACGGCAAGGTGATGCTGTTGAACACCTGATGTTGTAGTGGCGAAATTTCTTTTTCTAAATTGTTCAAAATGTGCACCAAACCCATCTTAGGTTATAATGCGAGACAAAAGAAATAATAAAAATTAAAAAAAATTTAAAAAAGTAAAAAGACTAACAGGTAAATAGGGGCGGAAGGAACTTTGGTTAACAATAATACAAAGAGAAAACAGGATGCCGATTATCTCGGCGCACACTGCAGTAGGAGGTGGAAATGACTTAGGGAGGGAGATTGGTGTCGACATGCACTGAAACGTTAGATAAATGCAGTACTTGGTTATTGCATTTACATTTAGACAGTGGATAAAACTAAGACAGACAGTGAAAAGTGGCTCTAAGCTTGCTCTTCTGGAGGGCTCTTATCTTGCTGGCTCCTTGTCAGAGAATATAGGGGGAAACGGTTCGATGACTGTCTTACCAGACGAGTCAGAAAGAAGTGCAGGATTTGTGTTTACAGCTCCTTGCGAAATGTAAATTTACCCTTTGAACCTTTGCCCATTTTGTCCCGTTACAACACAAACGTTGCGTCTCATTGGGATTATATGTGACAGGCCAACAAAAAGTAGTGCATAGATGTGAAGAAGAGTTGGTTGGTTTGGATGGCTGTTCCCTGATGCCCTCCTGATGCTCATTCCCAATTATTTATTCAACAAACGGTGCAGAAAATAATCAAAAAATAATCCTGACAATACGGAGAATTTTGTCATTTTAAAACATCATTAATTGAAATTCACTGTGACGACGACGACGATGCGATAAATCCCCACCTCTACTTTATGTCATTTAAAATTATGAACTACTTTGTTTCTATTGCATAAAATCCCAGTGAGACACGACAAAGTTTGTGCTTGGAAGGAGAACAAGATGTGAGAAAATTCAAGAAGTATAAACACTTTTTGCAAGAAGCTGCATCTGACCAGCTAGTTAGCTCCAGATGGAGTGTAAGGTGTGTGTAGAGTCAGAGCACTGGGGTTGAGAGGAGGAGGATGTAGGAGAGCTGGGAGGAGAAACTAGTTGTGCAGAAATAGAGACAAGTTGGCCTGAGAGTGAGAGAGAGAGAGAGAGAGAAGGAGGGGAACTAACTGGAGTCGTGTTTGTGTGAGTGGAAGAAAGAGAGAGAGAGAGAGAGACTGGTGGACGTTCAGAACACTTACTGTTGGCTATGTTGGTGGCAGTGAAACTGTCTGCCATTCCTGAGACCTGGCTGGCAATGCTGATCTCACTGGCCCTCCGTTGGCCCCTGGAGAAGGGGCCCATTATGGGGGATGAGGGGTACGGACTGTCCATGAAGACACCACCATGAGACTGAACAACATCCGCTATTGAGCCCAAACAAGGAGATCCCATTAGACAGAGACACAGGTACGGTGGGTACCTCACAGTGATGGGGAGGGAGGCGAAACATGTGACTGCAGGGGGGGGAAATGTGAAACCACAAGGAGCCCACATGTTCTCCATGTTCTGACTGACACGTGACAGCACAGACAGTAAAATGCCTACATATATTGAAATTAACGTCAGGGTGTAAAAATTGTTCGCTAGGAAAGATTTAGATTAAACATCTAGTGAGTTACTTGATAAATAATGCTGAGATTTGACAAAATTAAGACAACCCGTATCACCAATAGAAAACTTATTAAAAATGTAGATACAGAGCTTCATGTTGAGCAAACAAAGCACCACAAGCAGCACAGCGAAGCGTGATCAACTCTCCAGGTGAATTTAACCTCTAAGCACAAAAAAAAAAAAACCCATCAAGAAACCCCAAATCACAGAGCACAAACACAAACGCTAACACCCTCCAAACGCACCACAGCAGACGCTCTGCAGACAAATGTGAATGAGTGTTTCCACGGCTTGATTCATCCACTTGTTGGGATTTTTTGTTTAAAATAAAGAGAACCTCAGTTCAGGCTGCATGACCCGTACACAGTTAACATATTATTTCAGAGCTCTTAAAGATTCACTTTATTTAGTGCACAGGTTTGAATTTGTTATGCGTTTTCTTGAGCCATATGTACGCAAAGAGGCTCAAAAATATCCATGTCCTCCTCACTAACATTTAGAGAAATGTTCCCTCAGCAACATAAATAAGCCTCTGGTCGGACATTTGACACACTTATCACAAAAGGAAGAAATGATTCGGATGTTCTCACAGACCAGCTTAAAAGCATTTTCAAAGGGAAGAACGTCTGGCTGTTCTGGAAGAGTAAAAGTCAGCCTGCTCAGTTTATTCTGGAGAGCAGACTGGATGTGTTTTGAGATCGTTGCCCTTGTGTCCAGGTTTTAAGAAAATGGAGGAATTAAGTGGTTTGGTTGCATTGAAACAGACCCTCACCGTGATCCTACTAATTTTGAGTCTGTTTCACTACCAGTGGTGGTAGTTCAACCCTCAACAGCATGATGCTCCCACCACCATGCCTACGATGTTGAAAGCCTCACCTTGTCCAATCCCAGCATGCTTCTCATCAGTGTGGTCGTGTTGTGTTACTTGGGACGACTACTGGTCTCAGTTTTGTACTTTTTAACATTTTGATGTTGCCACCAGGGCAGCTACGTGTTGAAGAAAAAAACCAAAGGGAGAAACGTTTGTAAATGTATTGATGCTTTTGTCGGTAAAACATGGAGAAAGAATGAATGCTGAGTGAGTCAGGTCCTCCAGCGCCACCTGCTGCCTGAAGCCACCCTGTCTGCAGTCAATGACGGCCCAGAAACATTTGCCTGGATTTATCACATCAGAGTTGTGGTAAACTCACAAGGGTTGTGTGATAAACAGTGACTTGTGTGTTTAATTAGCTTAATTTATCGTTTTTGTGTGGCTGTGTTTTGATTTGGTTCAGCTAAATACTGTGGGAAGGCGGCGGCCTGAGCGAGTTAGGCAATCCAATCCGACCAGTTAGTCCAGCGCCCTGTTAACAGGTCGTTAATGTTTCATTAATCACATGATGCAGCACATGCTAAGAGGTGACGACAGTCTCTCAGTGGTTGGATCTTGGTCCTGGACTTGTCTGGTCTTGACTTGGTCTCAGGTTAGGCGCTTTTGACTGAAGCACTAATACGTGGCTTAATGTTTCCCTCTTCTGACCTCCTTCTAACTTTCGCCAAAAGGATCTGGCTTCTTCATGGGCCCAGCAGAAAAATTTCAGTCAAGTTTGAAGGACTCCATTTTGAAGCAGCTGATTTAGAGGCGGCAGCCTCAAGATCCACATTAATGTTTAACTTAAGTCAGTCTATTAGCATTAGACCGTTAAGAAGAATATGTTAAATGTTAAACTATGCTCGGATGTAAACAACGTACAGTCGTGTCGTACAGTTGCTGGGAGAAAGATCCAGTGTTATTTCTCTTCTATGATGCAGATAGGACCTCCCCATTTCTTCACCACGGAAACCAATCAATTGAAATGACCTCTATCCATTTAGGCAAAAAGGCGGGTCAACTATCCAGCCAGAATCATACCGGCAATTTGTCATTTCAAGAAATAATGTGATGTTTCTCTGAAACCTGCTAAGGGAAACTTAACTAAACTGTTGTTTCGGCGTATGTATATATTCAGAACTTTTTAAATCCATTAAATTAAATTCAAACCTGTGCACCCAATAAAAGTTTTAAAACTCACTGAAAATGTTGCATGTTCAACTGCAGTTTGGAAAAACAACTGTTAAAGTGTGAGCAGTTACACGAGTCACATGTCATACTCTTGCAACAGCAGCAATGGAAACATTCGGACGATATCTAAAGCAGACGCAAAATCAGTCTGGATTTCAAAGCACACGACAGAAAGACGAGGATGTGAAGAGGACAGAGCACAAATGCAGGGAGCGGATGAGTGAGGGCGGAGAAAGATGGAGGTGAACAGGAGAGGCTACACACACTCCAAGGTGGCGGGTGTGGCTTTCAGGGAGTTCTCCTGCCAGTTTAGCACAGGAACAGGAATGCAGGTCTCACTGATGGTCTCCTGACAGCGAAAGGACAGGGGGGGCCCGCTATCAAGTAGCAGCTGAGCGTTGCTCTGGACTGCCTCCACTACAGAGGGAGGTGGAGGAGCAGGAGGGAGGGCAGAGGTCGGAGGGGTGGTTTTAGGAGGGCCGGGTGTGCAGAAGTGGGAACAAGAGACCGAGAGAGGAGGAAGGAAAGGAGACAGGGAAGACACAAAAACACATATGAAGCAAGAACAACTGGACATAAAACAAAAGGCAAGCCCTTAGCGGACCTCACTTCTAGACTACAACTGTTTTTACAGCTTGAATGGTTATAATAACCAGTTTTACAACCACACGTTAAACAGAAGAAGCGAGATAATGCTGATAATCACTGATAAATGCTGATAAATGTATTATTACTGCAGTTCATTTTTGCCCAAACATTTGTTTTGTTACAGCCTCACTCCAAGTGATTAAATATCATTTTCTAACTATATTCTAAACACAAGATCTCATAATTACAAAGTAAAAAAAAATTGTTTGTTTTTTTATTTTTTATTTTATTTTTCAGCAAATTTATAAAAATGAAAACTAAAAATTATATGCACAAGGTTTTACTGCATTCCTCGTGACATTCATGGTAACCTGCCTTCACTGGTTTATCTTTTCACTGAGGTTAAGATGACAGCAGCCAACACTAGGAGAAACATCTTCAGAGTGCTAATGATCTCATCTTCCAATGCTACAATACTCGGATAATAAAGGGGTGGCTTCAGGGGATTTCTGTGAATATCCTCCAGTGGCTCAGCCAGAGCCTGGAGTTACAGTAAATCTAATTTAATACGTCTGGAAAAAATTTAAATGGCCATCTACCGACGCCGCCCATCCAGCCTGACCTGGTTTGATCTGCAGAGAAAAATGGGCAAAAATGCACAAAACTATATGTGCCAAGCCCACCAGCGCTTAAAGAAGAACTGCTGCTAAAAATGCTGAGCAAAAGAAGTGAGAATATACACGTGATATTTGAGGAGTTGTTATTTCATAAATTTGGAAAAATTGCTATTTTAAAAAAAAATATATATTTTGGAGTAAGGCTGTAAGATAAGAAATGTGGAGAGCAGTGAATACTTTCTGATCACTAAATCCTGGATCTTAGAAAATGTGAAACTTAAGTCTGAGGATAAAAACTTGTTTTAGTGACTAGTCGGTTCATTTACACTAAACATCTACAGCCAAATAGGACAGTTTGAGGTTCTAAGGGTGACTCTATTAAAACGAACGTCCAAAGACAGAAATCAAAATCAGGACTATGACCACATTTAGATGAATAACCTGCTTTGCAGAAGACAAACAGTAGAAAAATGCAGCATTTTTCTCTGAGACAGTGAACTACGTGAGTGGACTCATGGTGTGCCACTAAGACATGTGCTGTATGCGACGAACAGGACTGCTGCTTACAATCAAAATGTCTCCTTTACGGGGAGAAATTAAAAATAAATCTACTGTGTGAGATTCTGCATTTGTGCTTGTGATGACTCCAAAGAACCCGACAGGTCTGAATTGTTTCACGTGGCAGTTTTTGCCTCCATTTATCGCTCCTGCAAGGAACTCACCCAGCAAGGCCGAGTTTCCGTCTCCGAGGGGGAAGCGCTGGTAACGGGGAACGCTAAAAGGAGGGAGGAGGTGAAATTTCCGCTCCAGCAGAGGCTCCAGGCGGGAGGCGGAGGGATCAGCCGGGTGGAACAAGTTATAGACCTGCTGACAGGCCGGCCTCAGCTGGGCCACTAGAGGGGGAAATCCAACCAAAGACATGGGAGGGAAGAGCAGACGAAACCAGATGAAAAAATAAATACGTTAAAAAGCTGCCCAGCAGAGGCATCTTTAATGTTCATTTTCATGCCCAAACACATTATTCGCTTAAAACTCCTGCATTCCTCTTAATGAAGAAGCTCACCATCCAGCATAGGGATCACAGTCTTCCTCAGGGCCAGCACCAAGCCCAGCGGAGAACCAAACAGGAAAAAGTCCGACACCTCAAAGTCGAACTTCCCCAGGGAGCTTCCGTCCAGCATGGTGCTGCTGCTCGACCTGCGGGACGCTGCGTCGCTCTTAAGGACGCTAGAGTGCAAACTGGAGGGGGAAAAAAAAAAAAAAAAAAAAAAAAACAAAAAACAGTCTGTGTTTTATTTTGCTTTTATTGGGAATATAAGTAA